CATCAAAAACTGCCAAGGAAGAGTGATGATGCTGCAGAAAGATTGATGCTTAGAGATGAATTGTTAGGAAAAGTAGCAGCTTCTGGGAGAAGGATCATTTCATCTTTGTTGTGTTATATCCATCTATACCCTCTTGTTCATTTCTGATTCTTTGTTTTCTGGCTTCACTTATGAGTATCTGTGTATTGTGATACTCAACAATTTTGAACTGGGAAGATTGATGAATGAGAAGTAACTTTAACCAAATTGAACCAACCATAGTACTAGCTACGTCAATAAACAACTTTTCTCTTTGAAATCTGAATCATGAATTATATCCCATCTGGGCCCCTGGGAACAGAAGGGTGTCCTTGTTGTCTCTAGTAATGTTTATAGATGATAAGGACACACGGGCCAAGTTGACGTGGATCCGAGTCATCGAGTCTGACCAGACGGTACAATTCACTATTGTTAACATTGGTGGAGCCCAGGCTCATGTCCAAACCATAGTGATTTGCACGTGCCACAATTTCTTCATTTTACCCCACAATTGGCCAATTCAACAAGGCAATGATGTCTTTCCCGCACCATTCTCGATGAGAGCACTGGTTGTTGGCCCAAACGCTTTACCTACCAGTGGGGCGAAGCCGGTTCAAATTTGAATGTTCATTCACTCTCCAAATTTACTTGGATGACTTTTTGATTTTCCCCTAAACCCTAATTATAAAATAAGTTACCTTTAATGTTATGCAAGTAAACAAATTTTAATGTCCCTAACCTACCAGCAACATAGCTTCGTCCCATCTTTTATAGATGGGTAACCAATCAATAATTATCATGCAATTACCAGCAAAACAGCTTCTATGGATCAGGAAATGCCAAGTTTCCTTGAAAGCTAGAACTCCTATTGTCTCATTGATCCTTTCTTTTCTTTGAAGGCATCTAAATGTAGCGTTGTCCTCTTGATCATGGCCCTCAATCTTAACTTAACATTTTTGTTAGACCATGATTTACAGGCTGAAATGTGAAACCAAAAATCTCTGAAGTCATTGATCACGTGAGGCTTGACATGAGAAACTTACGTTCAAAACATGAACTCACTGATTTCGTGCTGAATTCAAATTAGTAATTTCCCTTTTTCTAATGCAACATATTTCTTTTATACATTTTTAATTCTCAAACATTTTTTTACACAATTAAAGAACAATTATTAAATTTAAAAAACGCAATCATTAAAACTTTAAACTTTAAATTTGCCCCCTAAATCCTTTTAATGCTAACCAAAAAGCTCTATTCTTTTAAGAAGCTATTAATAGGGTGAAATTGAAACAAAACATTGAATAATTATATACTAAAAATAAAAATGAAACAATTAAATTTAAATAAATTCTTTTAAAAAATGTGACAACTATAGATGAACTGAGATGGCACAAGAGCATAATTCAACTTAGTTACTAAAAGCATTTAAATTTAACTAACATACTTTTTATTTTTGTGAAAGTTTTAAAATCTTCATTTCAATATTATTATTTTTTAATTGCTCGCATTTTTATTAAGTGAATTTTAATATAAAAAAATCAAAAATAAAATTTAAAAGACTCATTATTATATTTTTTTCCCCTAATTTTTCTTTTTATACTTATATAACAATTAAAAAAAGGACAAGAGCACTAATTTACTTTTTCTTTTTTAAGATAAACTAAAAGTGGCACTAGTGGTTGGAGAAAATTTTTACTTTTTCTTTATAAAAAATTTAAATTTAGTATCCAAAGTGTTTTCTTAAATGTAAAATTTCTCTCAAACTTTCAATATTTGATTGAGGAGAATCCTACCTAAATTCTAAAATTGAAGTTTCAAAGTCATGGTCGACAATAGTTGTTGTATTGAAAAACAGAAAGAAGAAAAAGAAAAATCATTAGTAGTAAATTAAGAGCCTTCCCGAAGGAATGCAATTTTCAAGCACGTCATGTATTAAATGTAGATAAAGATTAGAATCGGATGTCCCGATCCCCGTGGTTTTGTGTTTTGTTTTCAAATCTTAAGATGCTTCAATTATTTAAT